ACTCTCTCTCTCTCTCTCTCTCTCTCTCTCTCTCTCTCTCTCTCTCTCTCTCTCTCTCTCTCGTAAAATTGTCAAGATAGCTTGTTTCTCTTTTTTAATCGCGTCGTAAAACTTCTGTCTGCAAATATTTAATCATAGACACTCGTAAAATCACACCGCACAGATAATCGCAGCGGCATTTCTGACAAGTAACCAGCTTGAGAGCCGTCAAATTGTAATTTAAAACGACGGACGCTAACTCGACTAACGGTTTGAGAAACGGCGCTTTTGGCAATGCTCGCGCCGTGGAATTTCACGGGTATCCCACGTGAGATTCCCCGCGATCGTAAGGCGCTAACACACCATCCAGCCCGAGCCTTTACGATCGGTAACGCGTTGCCTCTCATTAACGTGTAATTTATTCGAGAGAAACACAGAGAGAGACGACCGACGGGTATCGCCACCCGCGGGCCTTGATGGCTCGCGGCTTCGCGCTCGAGAACTCGCGTTCGTGGGAGAGACTCACGGAGAAAAGAATTCATAAGATTCTGGAGATCGTCGGCAAGATAACAGGCCTTACTGACGGAAACTCGTAGGATATGATAATCTGACTTGACGTTTGTTATCTCGGCCCGCTGCTCCTCAGAACTACTTGGACCTCCCTTCCCCCCCCCCCTCGTTATAACTCCTACCGAGCGGCTATCGGTATGCACACATCCAATTAATAATTTTCTAATTCCTCGCCGGACCTACTGAATGCTTCTGTCGCTATGGATTCAGTAAATTGTTGCGTTATCGCTTTTTACAGAGGCCGCGCGAGATATATCAATAAATTCTAGAGGACTGAGCGAAAAATTATAAATTAATTACAAGCATTCTTGTTTTCATAAATTTGTCGTTGATTATAATATTTATATAGCAATGAAACTTTTATATTGTATATGTTACTTTATTGTTTAATAAATTTAATATGATTTTTCAAACTTGATTTTTATCATACATTAATTTTTCGTATCAGTATAAAATTAAGACAATTAGTATTTCCATGTTATCCAGTATTATACTCTGTATTTTAATATAAGATATAACTTAAATTCCTTTTTTTCAAGTTATCATAACTTCTTATTAACATATTTCAATAATATAATCCGCTAAAGCTGATTAACGTATTAAAATTAAAATCTACAATCCATAAAACCGAACCGATATAATCTCAAGTAGCACATGTTGGTTTCATATACGTTTCTTCAAACAAATCTAATTTGTTTTATAATTAAGCAAACATTTCTGAAACGAATACATGCTACTTGGAATATCTTTGCGTAACTCTATCTCTCTTTTTAATAAAAATAATTTGCATAGATTATGTCGTAGCGTGTCAAAGTGTCATAGTGACAAAATGATCCTTTTACGCTCATAAAATCATTCTAATGACTTCGGAAGCGTAACTCACATGCAAAAAGAATTTAACGCGCACTCTCGCGCACCACGGGCGCGTCCCCATTATCTTCGGGTGTGCCAAAGAAGATGCCTCCGGCGGTTCTCACCAGGCGACGGGAAAGACAAGGCAACGGTGAGCGGGGTGTATGACGGTGTGTACACACTTCGGGAACAGTTATATTCGCGCACGTACCAACGATCTTATTTATGTCGTCGCCGCAATCATCGTCGACGGCGGCCCTACACCGGTCGTCCTCTCCTCGCTCTTTTCTCGCCCTTCTGCCTCCGCCTGTTCTCCCCGCGCATTATCGGGCGGCAGTGTGCTTTTACGGTCGGCGTATATCAATGGTCGGCCTAAAGGAAGATCCATGGAATGGCGATGTTGGCAGGTAGGACCCCGCGCAAGGTATGGGGCCCGTGACAATGGCCCGGGATATAAAAACTTGCGTAAAGCTGTCCCACTTACGGGGACTTCACGGGACCCACCGCCTGTGCTGAATGGGGCGCAATAACCTTTTATTTATCGACGGCTTAAACAGCGATCTTTCGCGTCGAAATGGAAGCCGCGTCGGAGACCGAGGATGTCTTTCGCCATATGAGACTGCAGACGGCTGCGAGCCGTGAGTGAAAATCGTTTCCCTCTTGGCCGATTCAATTACACGATTTAATAGCGTGCTCGATCGCTTTGTGCGACTTCTGCTGTGCTACCATTATAGTATCCTTTTTTAATTACATGCTCAATTACGCTAGGTATTCGCTCGGATTTCAAGTGATTCCGCAGTACTGTCCAGGCTAAGGAACATGATAAAACGTGAAATAAATAATAGCTTCACTTGGATTTCCAATCATCTATCCGACATTTTTTAAAAATCTGTATATTATTTTCATTATATAAAAAACTGTAGAACGATAATAAAGAAAACACAAAAACACAAAAGATGCGATAATTTTAATATTCAAAATTTGAAGAAAATTAAGGTTTAAATCTCTTTTTGCATTTTTAAAGATAGCGTAATTTATTTAATTATATTGAGTATTTATATTTTTGAAATGTATATTTTAATTATATTGAGAGTTGCTTGCAATCTATAAAAAATATTTTGGCGGTATTTTTCGAATCATAATTATAAAACTTAATCTGTATCAATTTTCTCTCAAACAACATCAATAGGATTGGATGGCTTCTTCTTTTGAGGCTTCTTTCTTTTGCACTTCTATGACAAAGTACGTTCCAATCTTTTATCCTAATCACAGTAATGACCGAGCCGACGTACGCCGACCGGTGCACC